TTTAATAAAAATGCAATATTGTTATTTTGCATATATTTTCCTTAGTTTTATATATACAAGAATCTAGAACTATAAACAAATCACAAGGCCAAACGCTTCAAAATTTAGAATTATTGATCCAGAAATAATATTTACGCATGGCCAGTTGTATGTTGCATGCTCACGTGTAAGAAACTCTAAGAATGTATTCAGCCCTGTTAAAAATGAAGAAAAAAAAAGAAATTTTCTTAAAAAAAATATTGTTTACGACGAAGTACTGTAAAATTAAATTAAATTAAAGAAATTATTAAACCGCGAAGTAACTTATTTAAATTTTATAGTTTGGTTTGTAAAGTTTGGAAATCTAGACAAAAACTGTTAGCGATAAGTATTTTTCAACACGCAATAGCGTGTTGAAAAGCATTTTGGTAATACAGTGTAACCCGGATATAAGAGAAACCCGGATATAAGAGAGATTTTCTGTGGTCCCAAATTAGAACCTGTGTTAATGTAAACAAAATAGACCAAACCCGGATATAAGAGAAACCCGGATATAAGAGAGATTTTCTTTGGTCCCAAATTAGAACCTGTGTAAATGTATACATAATAGACCAAACCCGGATATAAGAGAAACCCGGATATAAGAGAGATTTTCTTTGGTCCCAAATTAGAACCTGTGTTAATGTAAACAAAATAGACCAAACCCGGATATAAGAGAAACCCGGATATAAGAGAGATGGTCCCAAATTAGAACCTGTGTTAATGTAAACAAAATAGACCAAACCCGGATATAAGAGAAACCCGGATATAAGAGATTTCTTCTCCGGTCCCGACAACTCTCTTATATCCGGGTTACACTGTAATAAAATTCAAGATAATATTACTACGAATACTACCTGTTTAAATAAAGTAAGTGAAATTAATTTGTAAGAAAACTTGTAAAAAAATTGACAAGAGTTGACGATGTTTTTATCCAGTGATAATAAAATTTAAAATAATATTGCTATTAATACTACTAATTTATTAAAAGCAACTGAAATTAAGATAAGAGTAATTTTAATAAAAGTTGTGGTTGACAATGTTTCATTTAATAGTACAGTGTAACCCGGATGTAAGAGAGTTGTCGGGACCGGAGAAGAAGTCTCTTATATCCAGGTTTCTCTTATATCCGGGTTTGGTCTATTATATATACATTAACACAGGTTCTAATTTCAGACCAGAGAAAATCTCTCTTATATCCGGGTTTCTCTTATATCAGGGTCTCTTATATCCGGGTTACACTGTAATAATAATAAACTTCAACTAATACGACAAAAGTAAATAAAGAAAGGGACATTAAAAAGAGAATATCTATAAAAACATTAATAATGGTTGACAATGCTTCATCTATTAAAAATAAAATAAAATTCATAGTTCTTCTTTATGCGCTGTGTCCCCTCAGAATATAGGCGATCATGGCCCTCTACAATTTCCTGTCCTTCGTAGCTCTTAATAAATTTAGTCATTTTTTTTATTTCTCCTAAACCCTGTTCTGCCAGCCATTTAATCAAGCTCACTAAGTATATGTATTTTTTTCCTCTGTCTCTCTTAACTTTAATCTGTCCTGGGAGTATCAGATTTTCCAAGCCTTCTTTCCTTATTATGCGCCCCAGAAATATCAACTGTCTCTTTCTGGAGAGTATATTTCATTTTTGTTTCGTCGCTGCTCACATATTCGGCCCATGGTATACCTAGTAAAACTTCTATAGAACCAAATGTCTGTTGCTTCATGTCTCTTCATCTTTGAGAAGATCATTCAGCATTTACTGCCATATAGGAGGAGGGATATCACGTAACAGTTCAGTACATTTTTCTTTGTTTCTAACGAAGTTTTTTTTTTCCTGTTTCTTAATACTCTGCTTAGCTTGTGGAATGCATCTTTGTCTATCCCAATGCGTCTTCAAATTTCAGTGTCGCGTTTTCCTTCCTCTGTTAAAATTTAAACAGATATTTAAATTTTTGTACTTGTATGATTTTGGTATTTCCAATCTGTAATTTGCATTTTGGGCTCATCCTCATGCTGACAATTATGCATTCTGTCTTTTTGTAGTTGATGTTTAATCCTTTCTTCTCGCCATCATTCACTACATTCTGTGGCATTTTTTTGAAGTTTTCTTTCCATGTCTATATTCATTACTGTGTTATCTTCATATCTTATATTGTTAAAATTATTACAGTGTAACCCGGATATAAGAGACCCGGATATAAGATTTTTCTGGTCCCAAATTAAGCCTGTGTTAATGTATATAAAATAGACCAAACCCGGATATAAGAGAAACCCGGATATTTTCTCCGGTGGTCTTATATCCAAATTAAACCGGATATAAGAGACCCGGATATAAGAGAAAACCCGGATATAAGAGATTTTTCTGGTCCCAAATTAGAGCCTGTGTTAATGTATAAAATAGACCAAACCCGGATATAAGAGAAACAAAACTTCTTCGGTCCCACTAACTCTCTTATACCCTGTACAGTGTAAACCGGATATAAGAGACCCGGATATAAGAGAAACCCGGATATAAGAGAGATTTTCTCTGGTACCAAATTAGAGCCTGTGTTAATGTATATAAAATAGACCAAACCCGGATATAAGAGAAACCCGGATATAAGAGACTTCTTCTCCGGTCCCGACAACTCTCTTATATCCGGGTTACACTGTACAGTGTAAACCGGATATAAGAGACCCGGATATAAGAGAAACCCGGATATAAGAGAGATTTTCTCTGGTCCCAAATTAGAGCCTGTGTTAATGTATATAAAATAGACCAAACCCGGATATAAGAGAAACCCGGATATAAGAGACTTCTTCTCCGGTCCTGACAACTCTCTTATATCCGGGTTAACTGTACAGTGTCGGATATAAGAGAAAACCCGGATATAAGAGAGATTTTCTCTGGTCCCAAATTAGAGCCTGTGTTAATGTATATAAAATAGACCAAACCCGGATATAAGAGAAACCCGGATATAAGAGACTTCTTCTCCGGTCCCGACAACTCTTACATCCGGGTTACACTGTATAAGTATCATACTGAAACAAAATCGCCAACCCCGTAAATTCTTTTTGAGCAGTCACTTGAATGTGGGAGGTACAATCTCTTCTGCTGTGTCCCTTCAGGACGTAGGCGATCATGGCCCTCTACAATTTCTTCTCATTCGTAGCTCTTAATAAATTTTGTCATTTTTTTATTTCTCCTAAAGCCTATTCTGCCATCCATTTAAACAGACTCACTAAGTATATGCTTTGTTTTCCTCTGTCTCTGTTACCTTTAATCTGGCCGAGGTTTACCTTTAGCCCCCCCCCCTCCTGAGTCAAGTTGTGCGATAAGGTCGTTTTTTAACGTGGAGACTCGAGTGTTTCCACTCGAGCCGCTGGTCTAAGCTAGTCAAAGCTGGTCATACCTTGCCTGCGCTAGTCATAACTAGCTATACCAACGTTACGTAACAGATGTCACGCAATACTGGTGGTGCGGGGAACGCAAGGGAGGAGAGAAGGCCTCTGGCACGGAACAGATACTACATCTGCAGCATCCATCCCGACAGAAAAAAAAAGACCTTCGCTTCCACTGCCAATCCCTCCAGGAGAATCCCGAAGGAAAACCCCGCCTTTAATTTCTCCTGTGAGTATCAGATTTTCCAAGCCTGCTTTCCTCTCATTATGGGCTCTAGAAATTTAAATTCTCTCTTCCTAAGGAAATGTTGGGATAAAAAAAAAACAATTAAAAATCAATAGATATATAAATCCAATCAAACAATATTTTTTGTGCATTACACCGATAACAAATCTATCCAACAAAATTATTAGCCACTTAAATTAATATTATAGGTTTAATTTTTGTTTCCATTTTCTCTAAAACTTCACTGTTGCTCATATATTCAATCCATGGTATCGTCACCATGCTTCTGTAGAACTACAATTTTGTTGTTTCAAGTCTCTTCTTCATCTTTGAGGAGATTTTCCATCATTTACTGTCATGTACGTGGAGAGATATTACGTAATATTTCAGTAGTTTTTTCTCTGTTTCTAACAAAGCTTTTTTTTTTCTGTTTCTCAATAATATGCTTAGCTTTTGGAATGTATCTTTGGCTATCCCAATGCGCGTGCAGATCTCAGTGTCGCAGGATTTTGTCCTCTGTTAAAACACTTCACAGGTATTTAAATTTTTGTACTTGTTCGATTTTGGTATTTCCCATTGAAATGCATGGTTGTTAGCAAAAGAATGAGCCCGAAATTCAAACTACAAAGATTATTAGACTAGAACGAAAATTCCTCGTGTATAATAAGAATAAATATGGCCATTAGAAAAAAGGTGGGAAGTTATAGTTTTATAGATTAAATTTGATCTTCTCGAAGGCTGTCAAGTTTTCGGTAGTGAGTGATTAAAAGAAATCGTCTGTTCAACCAAGTTTCCCGTCTACAGACAGAACTTAAGTTTGAATCTCAAGGAGATCTTTAATTTTCGCTTCTGAACTTAAGATCTTTAATTTTTGTTTCAGAACTTAAGTTTGAATCTCAAGGAGATCTTTAATTTTCGCTTCTGTGCTGTCACTTCACTACCGTAGATTGACGGCTTGAGGAAAAGTTGGGATAAGAAAAAAAACAATTAAAAATCAATAGGTAAGTAAATCCAGTCAAACAATTAATATTTTTTTATGTGTTCATGCCTAGCGCCGATAACAAATCCATCCAACAAAATTATTAGCTACTTAAATTAATCTTATATTTGCCAAGGCAATAACAGCGGAACTTCTCCGGGTCCCAACAGTAAAAATGATGACAGAAATAGTTGGAGGAGTCCCAAAATTCACAGACACTCATAGAAAAACCATCTCCAAAAAGACAAATCGCTATTGTCCTTCAATGTGACACGTTCCTGGAGTCTCTCCAAACCGATTGTTGCGTTGAGGCGATGTGTCATGTGATGTGTCATGTGATACCACGCACGGGGTCACAGAAACTGACCCCACTATCATCCCTTTTGCAG